GTCCAAGCCAGGCCACCCTCCATCTGAACTAGACAAAAGCCCGGGGTTTCTGGTCAACCCAGAGGCACTTGCCTTTCAGCCTGTCATGAAAACACAGGTGCCGCAAGAGCAGCCCGTGGAGGAGTAACTTGAGAAGATGGGTGTAAAGGGTTTGGGTCTCCTTAGATCTGGGGGTGGGGACTTGGAGGTAGGGTAGCTGAAGAAGCTTCTTGGGGAGAGAACCAGTCTTTGGGGTTGCAGCTCCATCTAGGTTTGCACAAACAACACTTTCAGGACCCTTGAGCAGCGTCGTGGGGGTGGGCTGGGGGCTCCAGACAGTTGGCTGCCCATCAGGCCTCCGAGGATGCCTGCTAAGGCTATTGGTAGGGCAACGTAGGAGGCTCTGTGTGGCCAGAGCCATCTGAGCTGGAAGGCCAGGGGAGGCATCTTCCTGGTGAAGTCGGACAAGTCTCCAGGTAGCCGGGAGCTGAGGACATGGACTCATTCCCACACACGTGTTGGGAGGTGATAAACATATCACGCAGATGGTTTCTCTGAGCCTCAGTGGAGGGTTTCCACACAGACTCAATGAACTAAAAAGCAGATGTAAAGAAACACACAGGCTCACGCATGGACTGGGGAGAGAAAAACAACCAAGTTCTTAAAAAACGCCAAACCCTGATCACCAACGTGGAGAAGGCATTGTTGGACATGAGGCAGACAGACAGACACACAAGACAAAAACAAAGCTGTCCCATAAATTTTCAAGAAGGAACACCCTCCCCAACCTCCCCCCACCACCCCGCCCCCCGCTGACTCTTCAGAAAATCACTTGTGCTGCTTGTATTTCTGCTGAAAAGAGTACAAGAGACCCGTGGAAGGGAAGCAGGTGAACACAAACCTGGGGAGTGCCTCTGAGGCGGGTGGGTGATTTAGACTCTTAATTAAGACCAATCGTCCACCATGAAGTTGGGAAATTCCTCCTAGAATTCCAGAGTGAGGGCTCCTAAAAGTCTCCCCAAGCCTAATCACCAGGGGGTCACTCTTAGGGGGCTTCTGACAGGCCAGGAACCGGCTGCTTCCATGATGTTGCAAAACGATCTAATGATATAGGCACTCCCCTCATTTTCAAGACAAAGGAACAAAGGCTCAGAGAGGTTAAGGAACTTAGTCAAGTTCACACAGCATGAAGTGGGGTGGGGGGGACCTTATGCAAGTGTACAGAGAAGCCTCCACCAGTGGCCAACAGAGTTTTTGAGCATCTGTCAAGCAAGAGAGGACTGACAGCCTGGACGCTGGCCCTCTCTGCAGTAGGAGCTCAAGATGCTGAAATGCCCTTGGGATGGGTGAGTTAGCCAAGGTCATGCAGCCAGTCACTAACAACAAAGCCAGGCTAGGACCTGTCACCCAGCCAGGCTCCTCACCCTGCAACACACCTCTCTGCTTAACAAAGTTCCAGCCAGAAATCAAGTGCCAGGGGAGGATGACGGACACCAAGGGCATCTCCAGGAGCCAGACCCCTGCCCTCCATGGCCCTCCTGTCTCAGAGGTGAGTTCAGCCATGAGCCATCATAATGGCAGAGGTGTGCATTGGGTGCACAAGGTCTCCTGCAGACCTTATGGAGGAATCTGCCTGTGAAACTAACACATTGGCCTTGGCTGACCTTGGATGTCCTCTGATGCTGGGACAGTTGCCGAGAGGGAACTGTGTCCCCCAGAATGAGGAGGGCAGAGCCCCACTTGGCCTGAAGCTGGAGTTTCTCTGAGGCTGGTTTTCATCACCCTCAGCTTCACTCTCGTCCCTGAGTGTGCTCAACCTGGAAGCAGGCTGCTCCAGACACGCTCTTGACATTGAGGCAAGCTCCTTCCCTTCAAGGCAGGGCCAGGGGAACTCAGCCCTGTTATTTAGGGACCATGCCTTCCCAGATGACTCCAGGGTCTCCGTCACCCAAGCCCGTCTTCTCAGGCAGCCAGACAGGCCCTAAACCCATGTAGTAGATATTCCAGAATAGGAACCTAAGGGCTCCTTAACTCCAACCTGAGAACCGAGATGGGCCAATTACAAGTTTGGCAGGATCCTGTTGGTGGGATTCCCTGGTGAAGACTCCAACTGCCAATGCAGGAAATGCAAGAGATGCAGGTTCGATCCCTGGGTCAGAAAGATCTCCTGGAGAAGGAAATGGCAACCCACTCTGGTGTTCTTGCATGGGAAATCTCATGGACAAAGGAGCCTGGTGGGCTACAGTCCATGGAGTCAAAAAGAGTTGGACATGACAGCCTCTAAACAGCAACTATAATAATTCTATGGGTAGGCTTACTGTGTTCTTGACATAGGCTCCTGGAGCAAGAGCTTCCACAGGTTTCCATGCAGAGAACAAGCTTTCCATTTCCCTAGGACTGTGCTCTTCATTCAGAAATGCAAGGCTGCATTGGGCGGGGGGACCAGTGACAAGGAAACAGCGCTGTGTCATCTCTCAAACCGGGACTTCCGTCTTCCCTCTGCCACTTACCTGCTCAAGTTAAATCCTCAGGCAGATTAAATCCTCAGGCCTTGGTTTCATCACCTGTAAACACAAGATGACAACTACCACCTCCACACGTCTGTGACAATTCATGGGGGTGGCAGAGTCTGACAGTGCCCAGCCTGTGGTGGGCATGTAGTCAGTTCTTCACTTTCTGCCCTCAGGTTTTGAGCATCCAGAATCAAGTTTGGGCTGATGATGCTCTTCATCAAAGTCACTGCTGTTTGCTGAGACTGTTGCAAGAGGTTCATGTTCCATAAAGGACACAGACTCAGTTTGGCATGTGTAATAGCCAGATCTCGGGGTGCAGGCTTCTTCAGGTAGAGGGTACACATAAGCCTTAGTGGAAGGCAGGCCAAACCAGGGAAGTGACCAGACAGGGTTTCAGAACAGGAATGTAGGGTCCATAGTGGGTTGGTGGGTACCTTGCAACACTATCCAGATGGGAGACTGGAGTCCTTAGGCTCCAGATCACAAGGGATGAACTGCTGCCCAGTTCGTCCTCTGGGGGAAGTGGCAGGGGGCGGGGGTGGTGTGGTGAGTGTCCCAGTTTTCCCAGGGGAAAAGTGCCTGAAGGTTACCACTAGTGTCTGCCTTGGCAGGACAGGTGTGACCATCACCAAATGACCCCTTGGGCTATTGTGGACACTCCTGGGATTAGTAAGCACCTGGAAGGTTCCCTCCAGTTGGGGTTTTTACATCCAAAGTGATGAGTCAACCAAAAATGATACAGAGCTCAAGTACAGTAGACTAAAAAAGCTGGTGGCTCAGTGGTAAAGAATCCACCTGCAGTGCAGAGGACCTGGGTCCCATCCCTAGGTAGGCAAGATCCCCTGGAGAAGGGAAAGGCAACCCATTCTGGTATTGTGGCCTGGGGAATCCCATGAACAGAGAACCCTGGTGGGCTACAATCCATGGAGTCAAAAATGAGTTAGACACGACTGAACTAACCAACAACAACAAAGTTGAACTCACAGAAGCAAAGAGCAGAATTTCGGTTGCCAGGGTTTGGGGATGGGGAAGAGGAGAGTACAAATTTCAAATTTTAAGAGGAAGAAGATTTGGGGGATCGAATGTACAGATTGGTGACCACGATGACAATACTGTACTATACACCTGAAAGGAGTGATGAGTAGATTTTAAATGTTTCCATAGTAACAACAATGGCAATTACATGAGGTGAAAGGTGTGCTAAGTAACCTTACAGTGGTAAACATTTCACAATATGTACATGTGTCAAATCATCACATTGCACGCCTTGAACTTACACAGTGTTACATGTCAATTATATCTCAATCAAGCTAGGGGTGGGGAGAACAAAATGAAACCCTAAAACCAAACCCATACAGAGGAGCACAATACCTAAGTAAGGAGAAGGAGAGGACGGAAGGGTAAGGAACTTCTGTTCTTGAATATCTACACCATGCTGGGACTCTGGGGTGCCTACCGTGGTTATGGGGCCTAACTATGGCAGCCTGTGGGGTAGGCAAGCCCCACATCTGACTCTGACTCCAGGAAACCTGGGCTCAGGGTGCCTTTAAAGCCCTGCAGTCATGGGGAGGAGCTGGAATTTGAACCCAGGTCTGACTCCCTCCTGCGGTACCAGCCTTTATCATCAGTTCCCCTTGGGGCTGCAGGAGGAGTCAGCAGAGGATGGGGAGGCAGAAGAAACTCCTGGAGAATCTATCAGGACCACATTGCTCTTCTGTGTGCAGATGACTCACGTTCCACTTCTGCTCCTCGGTAACTCTACAATTATTTCTGTTACAAATAGTTAAAAAAACATTTTCCTATGTGCCTCGGAAGATGCAAACCACTTTTACACAGAGCAAAACAAAAATCGAAGCCAAGGGAAAAGAAAAAAAAGAAAGAAATTCAACCCTTAACAATCTCAAACCCCCTAACAACAAATGTGCTGAAAAGAAACTTCCAAAACGAAAACTGCCAGATTCGTTGTTATTGTTCTGGGACCATAACATCGGAGTAGATCATAATTCTAATTGGCAAAAACTGACAGCAGAAGAAGGCGAGGAGGTTCTTGGACAGTGAGCTGGGCCGCCAGAATTAAGAGCTGCTGAGCATCCCTGCGGCAGAAGTGGTACCAGTTCTTTTAATTAATGAATCAATTATGATGTATCTGGAAAGGGGACGTGGAACTGTGTCTACACACAACTCTGACATCAGCCGATTTCAACAAGTTTACTAAAACGACAGTCACGGCCTTTGACAATACTGAATGCAAAATAGTGGTGTACACAGACTTTACAGGGCAGCTCTCGGGAGCTGGGTTACAGAATCAGGTTTAACAGATGGGAGAAGGCCTGAGGGAAGCCAAGCACACGGATTTTATTGAGAAAAAAGCTTATATACTGTACGGGTTGCCGAAGTTTAATAAATAAAGGTCAACTTATAATATATAAAAACAATATAAACATTTATATGCTACATGCATATCATATAATTTAAAGTAATAATTTATATATGGGGAGAGATGCCAAGTTATGTTCTGCCGATCTTTCTCGACAAGGCACACACACAGGATGTGTCTATCCGTATCCACCGCCAGCCGACAAGTTTGTTGTTTTCCGACGTCAGCGCGCGGACGTAGGTCTGGGAGGTTTTGCACTGCGAGTTCCAGTGTTTATCATCAATTCCTCTGCAACCGTTCTTGACAGGCCTGGCCTCCTTACATCTCGTCTCATAGAAATATTGTTTGACGGGGGAGTTGCCGGTCTTGATCTCCCCCAGCACCGTGACCTGGTGTCCCCGAATGTCAATGGCCGACGACTTGTCGGTGACCCACAGGCTCTCACTGTCGCACACGGAGTACTCGCCGCGGTGGCTCTTGTGCTCCGCGTACCTCTTCCTCCTCGCCGTTCTGTTGGCCACCACGGGGTTGCCCACGTAGTCCTCCATGAGGTAGAAGGGAGGGGGCTGCAGGGGGATGCCGTCGCTCAGCAGGACCCGGGGCGAGTTGTAGCGTCTCTGCTGCCGCAGCAGTTCGGGGCCCGCGGCCGTCACCGGCTGGAATTCCGACTTGGCGGGCTCTCGGGGCGGGGCCTCCGCTTTGGGCAGGGTGCTCTGGTAGTTCTTAACGTCCACCATCTGCTTGGAGAGCTTGTTTTTTAAAATATCTGCCTGGATCAGCTTGATAATCAGGGAGTTGAGGGAGTCTTCCGGCAGACTCCTTTGATCCATGCTGTTCCCTTGGACGCCACGGAGATAAGCGAGAAACATCACATAAAACAAGATGGACATCACCTTGTTCACCTGTAAGATCTGAAAAGGAAACACGGGTGTTAATAGCAGGTGGTGGCGGCTGCATCTGTGTCATTTCTGGATCAGATACCTGAACCTGGGGATCCCTGTGAGGCAGGACAGAGCTGAGTACCACCATACAAGGAGAGCATCAAAAAGCCTCTGTGATGGCCAGAGACAGAGGCTGTCTATTCCGATCCCCTTCCCCTCTTACTCTCCTAGATGTCCAAGTGCCTTCACCCCAACAATCCTTCTTCCAGCAGTGTGGCTGGGTGAGAGGGAAAGAGGGGTGTGTGTGTGTGTTGTGTGTAAGAGAGAGAGGGCAAAATAACCTGTCTCACGAAGACAAAGAAAATCACTGAAGGGCTACAGCCTGGAAGAGTCAGGTCTCTCCCGAGGACCTAAAGCGGCACAGGAGGTCACCTCTGGGCATTCAGCCTGGATCTTTCTCGGATCGACAGTACCTGTCACCTATGTACCTGAGGTCTACCATCTGCAGCCTTCTGCTGGGTAAGCGTGACATCCTGCCATTTCTGTAAATGTCCCTTGAGCCTGGAAAGACCACATCTCGCTCCATCTCATGAAGAAACGGAACCTGAACATTCTAAAGGTGCATACACTATGTTTCTAATTTAAAAATATCAGCAGCGGCAGCCTTGCAATTGTGTCAAGAATCAGAGTTCTTTTGCCCACTTCGCTGCGGCCCCTGGGGTCTCTGGAAGGAGTGAATGCCCTGAGGCTGGGGTTGGGCCAGCTGCCCTCAATCTGCAGCATCAGAGAGGGGTCATCGTTGGCCAGCCCGGCAGAGCAGTCCTCCTGCCCCTGTAATGTCTCACTCTGTGAGACGGCCTGAGTGTCAGGGTTCTCTGCTGAGCTCTCTGATGGACATGCTTGCCAACGTGCCCACCTGATCCCCAGATGCCCCCTTCCCAAGACAGCAGACCCCCCGAAACACAGCCTGCAGAAGGTGGAGTCTCAGCTCAAATGAATGGGCTGCACTTGCCCTGTAGAGCAAGAGTCCCTGTCGATTTCTCTTGTCTAATGTTTTAAGTTTCCCACTATGAAACGCTCCTCTTTCAACGGTTCTGTTTCTAACTCTGCCGTCTCCTTGGTTCAGTGGCATCTTAACCCATCAACGCTTTCGTTCTGTTGCCATAGTGGAGCCTCCACTTGGGGTTTCTGCCGAGTCCGTGTGGAATTAGGGGGCTGATCTCTACATACCTTCATGCTGGTCACTCCCTCCCTAGAGCACAGCCCTGGAAGCACAGCCCTGGAAGGAGTGGGTTCTGGTACGGGAGGGGTGGCCGCTCCTCAGACCCTCCCCAGCGCCCTGCGCCTCGCCCCACCCGCCACGGGTGCTTGTTCTGTCACCACCATTGCAGCCGCCTCACCGTCCCCGGGGCTCTGTCGTTTCCTCTTTAAAGCTCTAAGCATGGAAAATCAAATCCTTCCCTTGGCTCACCTTGGGTATTTCCAGAAAGACTACAAAACCCAGGGGAAGAAGAGAAGGGAAATAAACAAACGTGGCAGAAGACACAGAAAATCAGTCCTGGGACTTCCCTGCTGGTCCGGTGGCTAAGATTCTGCACTCCTGATGCAGGGGGCCTGGGTTCGATCCCTGGGCAGGGAACTAGATCCCACATGCCACAACTAAAAGTTTACATATCACAACTAAAGATTCTGCATGCCATAACTAGAAGACCCTGTGTGCTGTAACCCTGACCAGCCAAATAAATAAATAAAAATAAATACCAATTCTAAAAAAGAGGAGAAAAACCATGGCTCAGAATCTGCGTCTGAGCCCGCCCAAGCTAACTCGCTCCCAGGACTCACAGATGTGGCCTCTTTCCCCATTTTGCCTGAAGAGCTGCTCTGGTGTCCCCAAAGGCCAGCAACGCTGCTGTCACTTTCCTCCAGCTTCCTCCTCCTGGCTCCCAGCCTGTTTCTCTGATAAGGGGAGCATCTTCCTTCCATGGGAACCAATCTCTGGACAACTGATTCTTTCAAGGTCAAGGCTGAGCGAAGGATTTTAGCTTTGCTGCCCCCACCTAGAGATGGCCCCCCAGGAACGGCATGATCCTGGGAAAATGGTTCCCATGGAATAACTAATCTCTCCACCCCAACTCCAGATAAAAGTGATTTTCCCCTTTAATCTTGCAGGCCCAACAGAATGAAACTTGAACAACACAAAAAATATGGCATCCATGCAACTAGAATTATACCGCCTTCTCCCTTCCAAAAAAGACAGATGCCATGAAATAATTTTGGGATGGAGAGGCTATCAAGAAACAATTTAATGTATAGAACAGACTTTTGGACTCTATGGGAGAAGGCGAGGGTGGGATGATCTGAGAGAACAGCATCGAAACATGTATATTATTAAGTGTGAAACAGATTGCCAGTCCAGGTTGGATGCATGAGACAAGTGCTCGGGGCTGGTGCACTGGGATGACCCAGAGGGATAGGATGGGGAGGGAGGTGGGAGGGGGGTTCAGGATGGGGAACACATGTAAATCGATGGCTGATTCATGTCAGTGTATGGCAAAAAACCACTACAATATTGTAAAGTAATTAGCCTCCAACTAATAAAAATAATTGGGGGGAAAAAAAGAAACAATTTATGAACCGCACCCTGCCCCCGCACCCACTTGCCCAAGCACCATCTCCATCAACTAAGAATATGCAGGCTACCTGCTCATACAGATATTGAACAAGTGAGGTGAGTGGAGGGAGGTCCCAGGTGGAATAAGAGTCCATTGGTAAGGTCACTGCAAGGGTGAGCTGGAAGGAAGAGCCTTGATGGATTGGGCTGCTTTATGGAGAGTGGCCTGTGTGTGGAACCAAAGGGTATTAGAAGCAGAAAGGCATTTACTCCAACTCCTTTATTTTATATGGGCTTCTCTGGTGGCTCAGTTGGTAAAGAATCTACCTGTAAAGCATGAAAGCGGGGTCGATCCCTGGATCAGGAAGATCCCCTGGAGAAGGGTATGGCAACCTGCCCTAGCATTCTTGCCTGGAGAATCCCATGGACTCAGGAGCCTGGCAGCAACAGTCCATAGGGTTGCAAAGAGTCAGACATGACTGAGCAAATAACACTTTCACTTTTCACTTCATTTTATAGATGAGGAAACCCCAAACTGCAGTTTAAAGAAGAGGAGAGTCACAGGAAGTGGAGGGGCGGGGGGGTCTCCGCAGCCCGAGACCAGCGTTCCTTTCATCACACCATGATTGGGCTCCCATGCCCCACCCCCAGCCTGGCTCACTGTTGAGCAGCCACTTAAATAAGCTCTACGACCCATGTGGCCCTTCCCCTTGCACACTCTCATCGCCTCCTCTTCTGCTGAAATGCTGCTCACTCTTCAGCACCCAGTTCAGAAGCTACCTTTTCCATCAGGCTCCCCTGCTAACAGCAGCCCCAACCCCCTCTGCATGCCCACGGCGTGGTGGCACGCGCACAGCCCTCTGGGCGCGACGCGGTTTATTCACTAGACTCTGTCCTCCAAGGCCAGGGGCCCCCTCCTTCCTGTCTGTGTCCGCCTCTCCCCTGAGTCCACACCACAGTGCATACAAAGTGGGTGCAGTGGATCAGAGATGGACCGAGGGTGGCTGAAGGCAGAACCAGCTCCCGAGGCTGCAGGGCCAAGAGCAAACATTTCTCAGAGGCAGAGTGGTGGCAGGAGGTGTGACCACGTTAGAAGCCACGCTCCGAATCCCCAGGCGCATGTTCCACGGTTCCATGCGGCTTCACTTACAAAACCCACGAAGATAAAATTCTGCAGAATTTCAAGATGGTAACCACAGAGTGTTACACATTGAGTTCAAGCTCCCCTTTCTGGGTGTGGGTCCCTGTGCAACATCCTGGCTGTAGGAACTAAGATGGTTTGTCTTGATGAAACTGTGTTAACGTAATAGATGGGGAGAAAATGGAAACAGTGACAGACTTATTTTCTTGGGCTCCAAAATCACTGTGGACGGTGACAGCAGCCATGAAATTAAAAGGTGCTTGCTCCTCGGAAGAGAAACTAGGGCAAAACCAGACAGTGTATTAAAAAGCAGAGACATCACTTTGCCGCCAAAGGTCCGTATAGTCAAAGCTATGGTTTTTCCAGTAGTCATGTACAGATGTGAGAGGTGGATTATAAGGAATGCTGAGCGCTGGAGAACTGATGCTTCCGAACAGTGAGGTTGGAGAAGACTCTTGAGAGTCCTTTGGACTGCAAGGAGATCAAACCAGTCACTCCTAAAGGAAATCAACCCTGAATATTCATTGGAAGGACTGATGCTGAAGCTCCAATACTTTGGCCACCTGATGTGAAGAGCTGACCCACTGGAAAAGACCCTGATGCCGGGAAAGATCGAAGACAGGAGGAGAAGGGGACGACAGAGGATGAGATAGTTGGATGGCATCACCGACTCAATGGACATGAGTTTGAGCAGACTCCGGGAGACAATGGACAGGGAAGCTTGGTGTGCTGCAGTCAATAGGGTCACAAAGAGTCGGACAAGACTTAATGTCTGAACAACAACACCAACAACAACAAAGGAGTGGAAAGTCATTGTTTGTCAAGAGAGATGTGCAAAGGCCACAGGGTACCATGAGTCAGGGTGATGTGAGCAGGGCTGTGGACAGGAGCTGCGACTTTAGTGCAACCTGGCTGGGAGGGCCTGGGGTTGTGGACCATGAGAAAGGCCCCTGAGACCATCTTCTTTGCTCTCCTTGGCAACAGGGCTGGGGAGAGAGGTCAGAGTCGTCAGGGAGGAAGATTTCATCACCAACACTGCAAACTGCCCAACCCCGTGATCAGATCATACAAAGCAGGCTGACGTGCAGTTGACTTATTGCTTTTCGATTTTCTACAGAGACTTATGGAGGCTGCTTTGTTTCTACCATCCCATCTACCTCTGGGAGCCCCAAGGCAAACCCTGCCACCCCCTTGGGTTCCAAACACACAAATTCTGCAGAAACATCTGGCCAGCATTGGTGGAGGTAGATGGGGGGAGGACAGATGAACAAAATGAAT